GTCATATTTAAGATATTTTTACTGTAAGATTTTTAACATATGTTTATATAGGTTGGTTGGTTGGTTGGTTGGTTGGTTTTTAGACGGAGTCTTGCTCTGTTGCCAGACTGGAGTGCAGTGGCACCATCTCAGCTCACTGCAACCTCCATTTCCCAGTTCAAGCGATTCCCCTGCCTCAGCCTCCCGAGTAGCCGGGACTACAGGCATGCGCCACCACACCTAGTTAATTTTTTGTATTTTAGTAGAGACAGGGTTTCTCCTGACCTCATGATCCGACCGCCTTGGCCTCCCAAAGTGCTGAGATTACAGGCGTGAGCCACTGTGCTCAGCTTATTTATTTATTTATTTATTGAGACAGGGTCTCGCTCTGTCACCCAGGCTGGAGTGCAGTGGTGAGATCTCAGCTCATTGCAACCTCTGCCTCCTGAGTTCAAGTGATTCTCCTACCTTCTGAGTAGCTGTGATTACAGACACACACCACCACACCTGGTTAATTTTTGTATTTTTAGTAGAGACGGGCTTTCTCCGTGTTGGCCAGACCAGTCTCTAATTCCTAACCTCAAGTGATCCACCTTCCTCAGCCTCCCCTAAGTGCTGGGATTACAGGCGTGGGCTACTATGTCCGTCCACGTTTATATATATTTTTATGTATAAAGTATTTCTGTGTTTTCCTTCATGGCGTCTGAGTTTTCTGTCTTAGTTAAAACACACACACAAAACAATTTCAAATAAAGCATGTTTTCAATCCTAAATTGTAAAAAAGCCTTGTAAATTTCTTCTATGATCTGTATTGCTTTATTTTTCACATTTTATCTTTAATCCATCTGAAATTATGTAGTTTTCAACAGCACAGGAATATTTTGCTATGCCATGTCTCTGTGAAACATGCAAGAAGAGATCAGGTGCCGTGGCTCACATTTGTAATTCCAGCACTTTGGGAGGCCAAGGAGGAAGGATCACTTGAGGCCAGGAGTTTGAGACCAGCCTGGGCAACATAATGAGACCACTCCTTTACAAGAAAAATATAAATGTGGTAGAAGGAAGGGTAAACCTGTGTCTCACATCCCATGGTTCTCACTAACTCACGCTGCTGCCTGGCCTCTATAAGCCTTCCAGCTTTCCATACTGGTCTTTTTTTTTTTCTGTTTTTCTTTCTGTGGTCTCTTCCTGGCCAGAGAAGAAGCCACGGGGAAGTGCTGCCTCTGCGTGGCCATCTCGATGATAGCAGCTACGGATGGCAGGAGAAGGCATCTTCCCCTCCCACCTCCAGACAGTCTCCCTCTGTCACCCAGGCTGGAGTGTAGTGGCACCATCTTGGCTCCCTGCAACCTCCACCTCCCAGGTTCAAACGACTCTCCTGCTTCAGCCTCCCCAGTAGCTGGGATTACAGACGTGCGTCATCACACCACGCTAATTTTTTTGTATTTTAAGTAGAGACAAGGTTTCATCATGTTGGCCAGGCTGGCCTCAAACTCCTGACCTTGTGATCCACCCGCCTCAGCCTCTCAAAGTGCTGGGATTACAGGCATGAGCCACCACGCCTGGCCTAAAAAGGGCATCTTTTTTAAAGCTGAAAGCAGAATGGGTTTACAGGCCCTTGCCTAACACCTTCCAGTGGTGGCTCATGTCTGTAATTCCAGCATTCTGGGAGTCTGAGGTGGGAGGAATAAAGCCCACGAGTTTGAGATCAGTCTGGGCAATATGGCAAGACCCTGTCTCTACAAAAAATAAAATAAGGCCAGGCGCGGTGGCTCACACCTGTAATCCTAGCACTTTGGGAGGCCAAGGCAGGTGGATCATCTAAGGTCCAGGGTCCAAGGCCAGTTTGACCAACGTGGTGTAATCCCAGCACCTTGGGTCCCTCCCTGACGGTCCCCCTCCAGCCTGGCTCCAGCCACACCTGCCTCCTCCTGTTCCTCAAACACCCCAGCTCAGTCTTGCCTCCAAGCCTTGGCCCTGGCAGCCTCTACTACCCAGAATAACTTTCCCCCAGATTTTTTTTTTTTAAGACCAGGTCTCACTCTGTCACTCAAGTTAGGGTACAGTGGCACGATCTCAGCTCATTGCAGCCTCCACCTCCTGAGTTCAAGTGATTCTCCTGCCTCAGCCTCGTGAGTAGCTGTGATTACAGGCACCCACCACCACACCCAGCTAATTTTTGTATTTTTAGTAAAGATGGAGTTTCCCCATGTTGGCCAGGCTTGTCTCAAACTTCTGACCTCAGGTGATCTGCCCACCTCGGCCTCCCAAAGTGCTGGGATTACAGGTGTGAGCCCAGCTAGATGTTGATTTATATGCCCAACTTCTTCTGAGCTTACACATCTCAGCTCAAATGGCCTTCCCTGACCTTCCAGCTCAGGCGAACACCTCCCCCACACACTCGGTTGTATCACGCTGTTTACTTCCTGTCACAGCATCTAAATTTATCTCCTAGGTATGTTTCCTGATTGATTCACGGTTTGCCTCCCCCGACTGGAGCTCCTGCAGGGCGAAGGGGGCTTGTGTCTGTCTTGTTCACCGTGATCCCACATCTGCCACAGTGCCTGGGATACAGTAGGTGCTCAATAAATGCGTGTTGCATGAAAGAAATAATCAGTTGGTTACAGAATGAGTGTGTACAAATCTGTGTATGTCTGTGTCTCGTTGGGGCGATTCTGTGGGTGGCCCCGTGTGTGTCCCTGGGGACAGTGTGGTGAGGGCTTTCCAGGTCTGTGTGTTTGCGACTTTGTGGGGTCTCATGGCAACCAGTGTGCAAGGCAGGGTCTCCGTGGGTGTTCTCAGAGGCGGCCAACATCTGCTCTTTGTTGTTGTTTTGTTTGTTTTTTGAGACAGAGTCTCACTCTGTCACTCAGGCTGGAGTGCAGAGGCACAATCTTGGCTTACTGCAACCTCTGCCTCCCGGGTTCAAGCGATTCTCCTGCCTCAGCTTCCTAAGTAGCTGGGATTACAAGTGCCCACCACATCCGGCTAATTTTTATATTTTTAGTAGAGACAGGGTTTCACCATGTTGGCCAGGTTGGTCTCGAACTCCCGACCTCAGGTAATCCACCTGCCTCAGCCTCCCAAAGTGCTGGGATTACAGGTGTGAGACACCGTGCCCGGCCAGCATCTGCTGTGTGTGTGTGTGATCTGTGTGACTGTGATTGTGAGTCCACATGCATATCCAGGCGTGTTTGTTGTGTGTCTACATGCCCGTTCTGCATGTCCACATGGAACTGCATGCTCACATGTGAAGTTGTGCCTGTGAGCACATGTGTCTGTGTTTGCCTCTCCGTGTGTGTGTCCTTGAGCTTCATGTTTTCCAGGAGCTGCAGCCCCGTTGTGCAGAGCGGTTGTGCACTGTTGTGCACATGCATGTGTCTGGTGTCCTCTGTGTGTGGGGGCTCCTATGTCTAGGTGTGCACACTTGCACCTGCCTCTGTAAGTCCCCATGGCTGCGTGTGACCATGTGTGAGGCGTGATTGTGCAGCAGCCCAAGACCAGCTGTGTGCACCGCTGGGCAGTGGTGTGATGGCAAATGCTGAACATCCACCTCTCAAGTGGGGAGCACTGAATTACAGCATTCCAGTTCTCACGGTAAAAATACTCTCACCACAGCCAATTTCAAGTGATGCCGCAGAACTATGAGTCAGAAGGAGACGTGCAGCGGCACACCATTCTACAGCAGTTCTCCAACAGATTCAGTAGACAAAAGCAACCTCCAAAGCATAGATTATGAGGCCAGGCATGGTGGCTCACGCCTGAAATTCCAGCCCTTTGGGAGGCCAAGGTGGGAGGATTGCTTGAGCCCATGAGTTCAAGACCAGCCTGGGCAACAGAGTAAGATCCCTGAGTCTCTACAAAACTAAAAACTAAAAAAAAATAAGATCTAAACTTAGGCTGGGCACAGTGGCTCATGCTTCTAATCCTAGCACTTTGGGAGGCCAGAGCAGGTGGATTGCTTGAGCCCAGGAGTTCAAGACCAGCCTAAGCGATATGGTGAGACCCTGTCTCTACTAAAAATACCCACATACACAAATAGCCAGGCATGGTGATGTGTGCCTCTGGTCCCAGCTACGCAGGAGGCTGAAGTGGGAGGATCACTTCAGCCCAGGGGATGGAGGTTGCAGTGAACCAAAATCATGCCACTGCCCTCCAGCCTGGATGACAGAGTGAGAGCCTGTCTGAACAGAAAAATTATACATGAAAAATTATATCTATGTATATATATATATAAATTATATATAAGTACATATAAAGCATATATATACATGAATTATCTATTTAAGAAACTTAGCTGTGCAGTTTTATATAGTTAAATATAAGTATATATATATATTATACATAAATTATCTATTAAGACTTAGCTGGCATGGTGGCATGTGCCTGTAATCCCAACTACCCAGGAGGCTGAAGCAGAAGGAACATTTGAGTCCAGGAGATTGAGGCTGTGGTGAGCTATGATTTCACCACTGCACTCCAGCCTGAGTGACAGAATGAGGCCCTATCTCTAAAAATAAAATAAACTTTTTTTTTGAAGAGCCAAATCTGAGCATTTCCTACCAACTCCACACTCAGTGGCATCACACTGTAGGTGAAATCAGCCACGCTGGGAGCATTTACACCAGGAGAATCGGCAGTGGTTGTTAAATGTTACCAGCACGCCAGGTTGTTCTGCCAGCTTCCCGGAGCCCACGAAACAGTGTAACCGTGAGTGTTTCCGAGTCTCAGTGTGCACCCACCCGGCTGGGCTTTGACTGGGTGCCTTTGTCTCTACAGATACACATGACTTGCATGTCCCCACATGGTGCTGTCTATACACCCATGTGCCTGGGTGAGGCCCCCACACCCTGTTCCTCTTCAGCAGTTGGTGCCACAGGAAGCTGCTGGGGTGGGGGTTGAGGACGCTGGGCCTCTCCCCAGCTCCCCACCCCTCCTCCCCAAGACACCTGCATGCACAGGGCTGAGGGGTGGGAGCAGGGCTCTCTGCCTCTAGAACCCCCATCCTCTGTGCTCTTCTCAGACCCCTGGATTGGCCAGCAGCTGCGAGCGGCGTAGCAGGCACGCAGGCAAGCCGTTGAGAAAGAGGAAGTCGGGTGCTGTTGGGTCACTCTGTGGTTATCCCAGGCTCTACCCAGCCAGCGGTTCCCTTGGGCCAGCTCAAAACCCTGGCCATAGGTCATGGGGACTGCAGGAGCTGGTAGCCAGGCTGAGTGCGTGCAGGTCGCAAAACCGAGCTCCATCTGGTGAGTACTTATCCTGGGAAGTGCAGAGAGATGGACCCATCAGGAGAGACTGGTTGGCAGTGGGGTCCAGGAAGTCTAGGGGGATAGCGAGCAGACAGACCATCGCTGTCTCTCTCTACCTTGCTGTCACCTTGCTTCCTGAGCGGGTGGGGGATGTTTTTGGCCCTCGCATTCATTGTGCAGAGATTTGTGGTCATAAGGGGTCACCCCAGAGGACTAGGGTCCATGAGGGCCTACTAGGTAAGAAAGGAGGATAGAGTCTGGGCACAGTGGCTCACACCTGTAATCCCAGCAGTTTGGGAGGCAAAGGCAGGCGGATCACTTGAGGTCAAGAGTTTGAGACCATCCTGGCCAACATGGTGAAACCCCATCTCTACTAAAAATACAAAAATTAGCCAGGCGTGGTGGCAGATGCCTGTAATCCCAGCTACTCGGGAGGCTGAGGCAGGAGAATCATTTGAACCTGGGAGGCGGAGGTTGTAGTGAGCTTCTCAGCCTCAAAAAAAAAAGAAAAATAAGAAGAAGAAAAGAAAAAACAAAGAAAGGAGGATGGAGCTCCTCGTAGCCAAGGCCCTCTGCATGGGGCCAGGAGACACAGAGTGAACAGAGAATGTGGGGGCTGCGGCAAAGTCTCGGGAGCCCTTGCACCTTGAACTACAGATTCTGGGACTCTCCCCCCACCACCCTGTCCATGGACCTCCTTGATGCAAATTCTGAATCTACTGTCAAAACAAACTCATACTTAAGGCTGATGGCTGAGAGCCAACTCTGAGACAGTTCTTGTCCTGATCTTCTGAGCATGACATCCAAGGAGCACGACCTTCCACCCAGGCAGTCCTCCTTCAGGCAGGGGCTCTTCTCCTTGGGAGACAACCCCTGGCTCCTCTCGTGGTCCCCTCTTAGGGAGCCCACACAACCACCTGCCTGGGACCGGGTGGGGTGGGGGAGGAAGGCTGTGGTTTGTGCTGGCCACACCCAGGTCTGTTGTTTCCTGCCAGCCCCCCATGCTGCAGGGCAGGCTTCAGGCACCCTGAGGCCTGGAAGGGGGCCTCAGAGCCAGGAGGGATCGAATCTAGAGTGGATGGCTGGGGCCTAAGAGGATGGAACTGGTGACACTGGAAGCCGATACTCCAAGGCCAGGTCACCTGCTGTGCTGAGAAAAGAACTTGACAATGAAAGGAGGTCAAGGAAGGGTTGCCCCATAATCAGCCATGTTTAAACTCCCTTGCTGTGACTGGGAGGCCCCCTGGGAGGGCTTCCTGGTAGAGGCAAACTTCCTGGTAGAGTGCCATGAAGAACCAGTAGAATGCCAACTGCAAACCCCTCAGTGCTTCTGGTCTGGGCTGTCTCCCATGTCTCCCTGGGTGCCTGGCCATCCCCCAGCCCATGGCCAGGGATGGACATATGCTGATGCTCGATACTGTTGTAGATGACATGGTGACTGTGTTGGACAGCTGGGCATTCAAATCCCAGTTCCCTGGCCTCTGTGTGGCCTTGGGCAAGTGACTTAACTGCTCTGAGCTTTCGTTTGCTCATCTGTAAAAAGGCTGTTATGAGTTTGTGGTGTGTGTGTATGTGTGTGTGTGTGTGTGTGTGTGTGTGTGTGTGTGAGACAGAGTCTTGCTCTATCATCCAGGCTGGAATGCCGTGGTGCAATATCAGCTCACGGCAACCTCCGCCTCCCAGGTTTAAGCAATTCTCCTGCCTCAGCCACCCAAGTAGCTGAGATTATAAGTGCACCCCACCATGCCCAGCTAATTTTTGTATTTTTAGTAGAGATGAGGTTTCACCATATTGGCCAGGCTGATCTTGAACTCCTGACCTCAGGTGATCTACCTGCTTTGGCCCCCAAAGTGCTGGGATTACAGCCACGAGCCCCTTCACCCTGCCTGTTAGGAAGTTTTGTCTGTGAGATCTTAGCACAGTGTCTGGTATAGAATAGATCAGAAAATATTGTCAGCCTCCCCTATGCCTTCATACTCTGACCTTGTCCCCAAGCCTTCCTTCCTGATCAGATCAGTCCCCACCATCCTTTGAAATGTTCCGTGTCATACAAACACCCATGATGGACCTCAATCTCTAAGGACGTGTGCTAGAGTGGACCCCTTAAGGATCTTATCGACCCACTCCTGTATCACATTCTACTGCATTTTCTTTTCTTTTCTTTTCTTTTTTTTTTTTTTTTTTTTTTTTGAGTCAGAGTGAGACAGAGTTACCCAGGCTGGAGTGCAGTGGTGCAGTCTCGGCTCACTGCAATCTCCACCTCGTGGGTTCAAGCAATTCTCCTGCCTCAGCCTCCCGAGTAGCTGGGATGACAAGTGCATACCACTACACCCAGCTAATTTTTGTAGTTTTAGTAGAGACAGAGTTTCACCATGTTGTCCAGGCTGGTCTTGAACTCCTGACCTCAGGTGATCTGCCCGCCTTGGCCTCCTGAAGTACTGGGATTACCTGTGTAAACTGCCACACCCAGCCTGCTGTATTTTTAACTCTAGCATCTTTATCTCCTGTAGGGCTGTTGCTATTGTCTGTTTTGCTTCTTGTTTTTTTGGTCATGAGGTTCTGTCTCCTAGTATGCCTGGTAGTCTTGGATTAAATGCCAGGCAGGCTTTGTTTGTGAAAACCTTAGAGATCATGTGTGCCTCTTTATGGTGTCTTTCTCCTCCACAGAGGGTTTACTTTGGTTTTAGGAAGGCAGTTAGAGTAAGGGAAGGTCCTTTACTCTGATCATGGCTGCACTGACTTGAAGATGGATTTTGGTTTCAGTGAGGGCTAGTCTATGTCTGGTCCCTCCTTGCTCCTAGTCTGTAGTCTTTTAGGGGTCTCAATCACCTCCTCTTTGTGGGCCCTGAAGTCCAATGTTCATTTCCCCAACGTAAGATTGCTAAGAGCTACACTCAGCTTCTCAGGCTTTGATCTGCTTCCCAGTCACTCAAGAGCTGTGTTCAAATCAACGACTTGCTTGTGAGAGAAGAGCATTGCATTACGTCCTTCTCACTTTCCTAGGTTTCCTTTCTTTTGGCGGTCGGGAGGGAAGAAAGAAAAGAAAAGTAGCCATGCATGGTGCTGGGATTCCACCAGGGGGAATCCCAGCACCTGTAGTCCCAGCTACTCAGGAGGCTGAGGCAGGAGAGTTACTGGAGCCTGGGAAGCAGAGGCTGCAGTGATCCGAGACTGTGCCACTGAACTCCAGCTTGGGAGACAGAACGAGATTCTGTCTAGAAATAAGTAAATAAATAAAATAAAAAAGAGAGGGCCGGGCGCGGTGGCTCACACCTGTAATCCCAGCACTTTGGGAGGCCAAGGCGGGTGGATCACTAGATCAGGAGTTCGAGACCATCCTGGTCAACATGGTGAAACCCCGTCTCTACTAAAAATACAAAAAATTAGCTGGGCATGGTGGCGCGTGCCTGTAATCCCAGCTACTCAGGATGCTGAGGCAGGAGAATTGCCTGAACCCAGGAGGCGGAGGTTGTGGTGAGCCGAGATCGCGCCATTGCACTCCAGCCTGGGTAACAAGAGCGAAACTCCGTCTCAAAAAAAAAGAGAGAGAGAAAGGAAGATGGAAGATGAACCAGGTTAGGAAGGGAGACTTGGAAGGAGCAGACAGAAGAAGGAAGAACTTGTGGCATCATAAGATTTCAAGAAGGGAATAGTCAGAGACGTCCTGTAAGAGGCACACTGAAAAGTCCTCATTGGATTTAGTCCTAAAGAGAGTTACAAGGCTAGGAAGGTGGAAATAGGGCTTCAGTGGCTTGCGGAGTCAAAGAAAGAAAGAGAGAAGGGCAGATAACTCTTTAAGAAGAGAAGCAGGAGACCCAGCCAGGAGGTGAGGAGGGAGGGGTTCTTGATCTTCTCACCAGTGGGGGTGATTTGGGGCTGGGAAGTAATGTAAGGGACTGGAGGACAGCAGGAGGGAGTCACACAGCAAGTACACTGTGGGAGCTGGGATTTGAAGCAGGAATTTTTCAAACACAAGGAGTAAAAATGCAGATAAAGGGGCTTCCACCACCAGGGGGCAGCACCTGCACATTTGAGGGCTCATTGACACACGCACACCCCACACTTGGGTACAGAGGGAAAGGTGGTGTGGCTCAGGCTTGTAATCTCAGCACTTTGGGAAGCTGAGCAGGAGGATCGCTTGCTCCCAGGAGTTTGAGACCAGCCTGGGCAACATAGTGAGACCCCAGCTCTACTAACAAAATACAAAACTTAGTCAGTGTGGTAGCACACACCTGTAGTCCTGCAGTCCTAGCTACTCAAGAGACTGAGGCTGGAGGATCCCCGGAGCCAGGAGTTGGAGGCTGCAGTGAGCTGTGACCGCACCACTGCACTCCAGCCTGGGTGACAGAGGCAGATCCCATCTAAAAAAAAAAAAAAAAGAAACAGATAAAGACACAAATATGTAAAAACATAAACACAGGCAGACACCAAAAGCACCTCCCAGATACTAGAAACAGATCCTCCAGACACAGATGAGCCATGCAGGTAGATGCAACCCCACAGACACCAATGGGCATTCTCAAACACACACGCACATGGGCACACCCACAGAGACAATCACAGAGACACTTTTAAAGCTATCTAGATAATCAAATACGCCCCCACATTGACAAGCTAATATTTCCAAACTAACCCTTAAACACAGAATGACAAACACAAAAACACGTGCCATCTACACAACATGTAAATGCATCGTGAAACTCACCGAGATGATGGCGCACAGACACACACTCAGACATCTGTGCACACCCAGGCTCCCCGTGGGACCCAGCTGATACTTGTTTTCCCCTAGGACTGTCTTGTCCAGCCAGGGAGACAGGCCTGTAGGACTGGGTTTAGGGGACAGAGGGTGCTAAAGGGCTTGGCTTCTCTTCAAACCAGGGGTCCCTGGGCCCCTGAGCTGTAAACTCCAGCCCCCATGCTGAAGCCCAAGCTTCCATCAGCTGATGCATCTGGCAGTCCTTGGCGGCAGTCTCCGCCCCTCTTACTGGCAGCCC